AATGATGGTGATTTGTAATACATTTCAAGACTGTGTAAACAAGAGGTGGAAAACTGACAGGGACAGAAAGTATGTAAAGGTGATGCTAGGTATTTAGCAGCAGTGTTTCTGAATAGCTAGGCAGTTCTGTTTTGCTGTTTCAAAGGGCAACTGATGCAAACTTGATAGCATAAGGGAGTGGGGAGAACAATCAGATTTGGTTTAGAGACAAAAGAAAAAAAGTCCCCACAATTCCTTGGATGATGAAAAACAATCTAAATACACAGGATTTTGGAAAGAACTGTAGTAAAAAGTAAAACTGACTGAATACTCAATGGTATTGCTATGCCAAGACCATCTTTGGCTTTCTAACCCATAGAGAGGTTTTCCAGAAACTTGTAGCAGAATAAATGTCAATATTAAGACAAGAGAAAGAGCGATGATGTGGTTTCATATATGTGGGTTGCTCAAGGGGGGCAAAAAAATATGAAGGTGTAAACATATAAATATTTTCTCTGATGGCACAACTGACATAAGTTCCTGTCCCAGTATATATTTCCAGATTCTCTTGTTGAAGTTACAGAAATTCACTGTAAAAAGATGTAATTAAATGCACCAAACATAAAAAAATCCTCTTTAAAAAGCTGGATGCTTTCTTCACTTTACAATCGTTGCTTTGGCCCATTTCTGAGAGGCTGAGAAGTCAGGCTCAGGATGTTCTTAAGCAGACCGCTGCCAGAGAATGTGTGTATATAATACCCCCTCCCTGCACTCCCATGAGATTTACATTCGTGAGTGAGAGCTAGTCTATAAGGCACTTTAAAAAGAGAACAAAGAGCTCAAATGCAATACAGGACAGGAAAACTGGGAAGTTAGCGAGACACAAAACAGGAAGAGGCCTGTGCCAATAGGCAAACATAGGCCAAATCTGTGTCACAGGACAGAGCTCAAGCCTGGAAAACGAGGACAGAGAGGGGTTCCCAGCATCTACATGCAATTTTTTGACTGTATTATAGATACATGAGAATGTAAATGGTTGAGGTTTGTTCCGTTTTGTTTTTAACCACATAGCTAAGTGGCTTTTGATTGCATTTCTGGTAATCATTCAGAGTTATACTGCTTGCATAACCTGCTCGTCTTGCAATTCCTTAATAACCTACCTCCCAAGCCTTGCCAAAGTAGCACCCTTTCAAGGTGCAGAACAGAAGCGACTAGAAATTAAGCTACCAAAATGTTGCTGCTTTGATTTCATTATCTGCAGATACAATATTTACATACGCTTCTTGTTCCTGTCAACTGCAACTAGTTTTACAATATACTAACCCACCAAACTGGGTGCTATCACAGAAAAGAGACGAAATCCCAATGTTTGCTCAGCTACCTACGTTATAGCATGGCTGCCAACATCCCACTGTAATTTTTTAGCACTGGGTGTGTGCATATGCATGTCCAGTTGTTAAGCACCAGGAAAGAACACCAGTACCTAAATCCAGCTCTCTTGGTAGAATAAAAATACATATTTAATTAAATAATACATTCTTTATACTCGTACAGAGACTTGAGTTAGAGAGTGTGTTTCAGTGCCTTAAGCAAAGTCACTCAGCAAATGCGCTGTACAAGAAATCTGACTTGCACGTCTCTGCTAACGAGCAAACACAAAAGCAGGCAGTGTTTCCAAAGAATATCTGACCTTTCAGCTCCAAAACACCTTCATGGTGTTTAAATAACTTCTGACTTTTATTATGTACCTGCCGAAATGTGAAAGGCTTTAAACAAAAAAATATATGCGTTTGTTCTAAATCAAAGCGTACTTTACTCGAAGTTTCTTTCTCAAGCCAGAAAAGCTCATGAACTGAGAGCATCCAACCCCTACTTAACAGACAGCGCAGAGTTAAGCAATTAGCCACATACTCAATGGGTAAGCGTGAAGCAGCCTAGTATCAGCTCAGCTTCAGAGCTCCTGCAGCAAATCCCATGACCAACTAAGCCTGCCCACGCTGAGCCCCACAGTGGGCACTTAAACCAAGGCAAAACCAGCAGAAATGCCACCTGCTGCTTAGCGCTGAGCGGCTCTGCCCACATGAAACCATTTGTGGTGCCGTGCTGGATTGCCAGCGAGGACTCAAAGCAGATGTGGGACTACTACCACTTCCTCGGGAATGTCTGGGAGGCTGGCACATGTTCTTAACACCCACTTTATGTACAAAAAAAAAAGCCAACAGAAGTTAATGTTTGATGAGGAGGTTCAATCACTTAGCTACAGCGCTTACCTAAAAATCACATTACCTAAAAATCAAATGCTTTTAAGAGTTTGTGTCTCACCAACTTCCTTCACTTTCATTTTTAGAGTGACTTGGATGCTTAAGTAACTGTAAAGGTTACCCAATATCTACTGTAGGAGAATTTACCTGGATAAAAAAGTACCTATTGCAGGTTATTATTACATAATAAACTTTGCTGCCCAGTACGGTGTGAGAATCTATGCCATCCAACATGTAAGCATATGGAAGGTCAGTGAAACAGGATAGTCACATAAACCTCATTAAGGAAAATAAGATAACCAAAGTATATCACAAATGATACCCCTCCAACTGAACAGTCTGCAAGCTCTATTCACACCAAGCTAAGGAAATGAGCTGGGAAGTTCTGGTTTATATCAGCTCCTTTTGAAGGCTAACCATAAATCATGTATTACCACTTTCATTTCCTATACAATGGAAAACTTACATCATCATTTAGTGTACAAGGAATACACAATCACCTGAGGAGGTTATGCTTCATCCATCTCCTTCCTTTTCTTTATTCCCACAATACAATTTGCTTCTCTCCGGATATGAATGCTTTTTCTATTCAGCCAACATGTAAGGGGTGCTTTGTCCCCCACCCTGTGCTGCCAACACAACAATTACCAATCTCTTTGGTCCAAGAGCAGGAGGTAGTATATGCTAAATCTTAAAATTTTAGGATCACATCAAGTGCTGAAGTGGTCTCTATTTCTAAAATACTGTGTAACTGCTCATAAAAATGAAGCAGTTCAATAATCTAAAGCCCGGATAAAAGCAGGCCATCTCAGTCCTGCCCATGACTGGTCTCATACTACAAGACAAAGATAGACTGGAAAGGACCCACATCCTCCCTGAAGCACTCACAGAAACACAGGAAAGGGATGGCGCAGCATTACGACCCCAAACATCGTACCTGTGAAACTCAACGTGCCATGCTCAGAGGCTTCCTCGCCAAGGCAGCAGAGCAGCTTGCCCTCTTTGCCATAGCTGCTAGACTGGAAGAGGACCGTCCCCACAATCATGCTGTGCTTCACAGCAAACAGAAGAGGCTGCTTGACCCAAGAAGTCCTGAACTGCCGCTGCCAGCACAAACGCCACCACGTGCAGATGCTCACTGCTCGCAAGGCTGGCAGCCAATGGAAAAGGAAGCGCTGCCGAGCAGGCGAAGGAGAAACTGGGAAAATCAAGCCGCGGGTTAACGTGGTTATTAGCTGGAAGTGAGGGTGGAGCTTCCAGGGAACGCTGAACAAACAGAGGATGTGGCGACTGGACTGCAAGTTGAAACAATTTTGAGATGAGCTATGAAGACAGAGTTTTGTTCTGCTAAGAGTTAGGCAACAAAGTGTTTGGGAAGAAAGCAAACAGTTTCCTTGGAGAAAATCCTTTGTACAAATTACAAAACAGATCACCCATTAGGGGGACCGCCCAGATTGATTCATTTTTCCACTCCACATACCATTGCTGGAGCACTATTTACATGAATCAACAGGAAAGGATCTTACTGAAAATACACGTCTAATATGTACAAGCACTGAACAAGTAAACAATCCTGAACATTTCAGAATTTCACAAAGAAACAGAAAGCAAGGGCAGTACAGTATGCCCAGTCTGAGCTGCACTTTTGCTGATTCAGTAAGACTCAGTTCAGCTCTCTGAAATGGCACCATCAAACTACCTCTCAAAAAACATAACATTTTTTGGATGAATTCTTTAAAAGCCCTAGTATGGTTTGTAGCAGGACAGGCTCCTCCTAACCTGTGGACAAGGAAGGGTTAAAGAACAAGCCATCACCATGGCAGTCTCACACCTGGGAGGGTGGTGGGCCTGCAGAGGGGTATAAAAGGGAGCAGGGAAAGGGAATTAAGTGGTTTGGCCTTTCTTTTGTAAGGGGAGAGGAGCTGTTGCAGCCCACTGAGAAAAAAGAAGCAGCGTTTTTATAATCCCTGAACTCCATCGTTCTGTAAGAAAGGTAGCTGCACCACATGATGAGGACTCAGATCAAGCTAAAGGTAAGAAATGAGTAACCTGGCTTATTCCAAATGTTTGTGTTTTGTAAGGCTGTGGAAAAACACTGTATAAAACTGTAGATATGCTGTGGGGATGAGTTGCTTTTCCCTATATGGCCTGTGACACCAGTTATTTCCCCTGCCACCATCACCTAATGTATAAGGAAAAAATAACCAGACAAAGAAAATATCTTAGGATACTGCATACTGTTGTCTTCCTAAAGTTCTGACAAGTGGGTGACCTCTTTTCCTCCTCCTCCTCCAAAGCCAAGCTTGGTGAGTCCTGCAGCATGCTATCCAGTAGTTAGAGGTTGAGATGCCTTTACCTAAGAGCTCCTAGGCTTTATCTCTTTCCCCTTTGTTTTTGCTTCTTGCAGTTTATTGTTTTCTCCCCTCATTTGCTCCAAGTACTCTTAATTACACTGGTATTTTTACTACCATTAGCATATCTGGTAATACACAAAGAATAAGCAGAATTTGTTGGGAAAAACAGAAAACATGTGAATGAGCTTTGTGATAAACCCACTTTTCAGGTGGGTCTGAAATGGTAGCAGGAAATAGCAAGCTACATATGGATTTGTGGTTAAATTAGTCTTAGCTGTAATAGTTAACAACCTTAGCTGAAATAACAAATATACTTGTTAGTTAAAATACAACAGATGAATAATTGGTATTTGGAACAAAGAAGGATTAGTGGAAAGTTAGGTTGGATTAATAATGTAACTTGCAAATATATCTATTGACTCCACCAATTTTAGCCTCTGTCAGGAGAGTATTCTCAGTCAAAGCCTAATGGCTGCCTGGTCTGTTAACGAGCTCCTGATGGGAATCAAGTAGTGGCCAGCACTGGCACTGGAGGCCAGCAACATTGTGGCCATAAGTTTCCTGTAACAGGGCAATTCTGTGCCTGCACCTTTCCAGCCCCCACAAAAGCGTTTCTCAGTGGGAAGGATATGGGGTGTCCCTGCACAGTGTGTAGCTGTTCATAGTGTCCTGCACCCAGGCAGAATAGTCAGGCATCTTTCTACCTTCTAGATGAGCATTATTGCTTTTACAACTGATTTTCCTAGATAGTTATTTTACACTGTAGGCCATCACCTTGACATCTGCATCCTGTTCCTATTCCCTTCACAGTAAGCGCACAACATAAAATCTTAATTCTGGTACACTCAACTTCCTCAGTGGAAGAGTCCACCTTTCAGGCACAGCAGCTCTTCCCAGCTCTTTAGACTATTCCCTGTGGTGCCCTTCAAAGCTGTTTCCTGAGAGTGGTTACCCTTCCTGTACAACTTAAATCATCCATTTAGGAGCATTTCTCTAGTTCTTCCAGCGGTGGGAAAAAGTTGAGTAAAAAGAAATCTTGCTGACTAGACTACTTTGAAATGTACACTTCAGGGAGCTTCTAAAACATTCGCTATACTCTGAATTTCTGAACCAACTGTCAATGTCTCTTAATCAAACATTAAGAATGTGTAAATGGAAATAGAGCTTTGAAAATTATTTGGTGTTGTTGGCGGCAGGCCAAAGTGACTGGCTTCTCAATGGAAGGAAGAGAGACAAAGAAAGGGTTATAGGGTAAATCCTGGTTACTGCATACAGTCTCAATCTGATATCTCAGCATTTTGCATCAAAAACCATAGGGTGTATGTATGTGTGTGTATATATACACACACGCTCAGTGTTCTATCTTCTGGCTTCTCACATGCCTCTCTTTCACAAAGGGACAACTGAATACAAGGCCACCAAGATCCCTGCATATGCCGCATCTTTCACATTATTTTCACTTTGAGTTTTCAAACTAAATACCAATATAAATATCCATGATGCTATTTTACCCACAGACTCATTTTATATGCTTACTTTTAACACTATCAAAGAATAGGCATTGGTCAACTTAGAGCATAGAAAGTAGGCCATCCAGTAACTAACAACTGCTAGTATAATCGGTATTTTCCACTGCATCTTCAAAACGTGCATCACTTTACATCACTAGACTTCAAGATCTTTAACCAGCTTGTTAGTGGGAGGATTTCTGCCTTAATGAATACAAGGAAACAAAATTGACAACACAGCAGCAAGTGGGTTTCCTATTTTGCTGACATGATTGGAATAGTATCAAGTTCTACAGTATCTCTGTTTCTGAAGCCAAGTCTCAGCACTTCCTACTATCCAAAAATACTCAAGGCAAACTACATACTAAAAAGCAAACCAATGCTGAACAGGCCAAGTTCCTGCTGTCTAATAATGTGGTAGCATAGAAGTGGACCTATGAACATTCTTTACCCTAGAACAGACTTAAGCCCTTACCTAAATGGACCACCTAGTCTTTCTGCTGACATACATGTGGCCATGAAAAACACCAGTTTAAAAGGGCTCAGACAGTTCACATATGGCTTTGGTAAAATGCAGGCAATCTAACTAAATGCCATTCCTAGGTGTTCCTCTCCCGTAAGCAACCAGACTCTTAATAACGTGGTTAGCTTGAGCTAAGCACAGATCCATAGTTAGTCTTTGGGCCTCCCACAGAGTGGTGCAAGGTTTAAGTACTGTAAACAACCCACTGAATAAAGCCAAGAAATACAGCTCCAAGCCAAGAACTTGGGATGGGCAAGGAATAAGTTTCTATTTATGGTACCAGGCTGGAAGAGACAGAATGGGAGGAGACTTCACAGTCAGTGACAAAATTGCATCATGAAGAGCTCACATCATAAAAAAGCTGGTAGCACTGTCTTGCCTTGATTATCAAAATATATCTGAAATAGAAAAGGTTAATAAAAGTGATCTTTGGTATCAGAGAGAGAAATATACAGAGAAAACTAGAAGTTCTCCATACAGCTCACGTCTTAAATGCAGATTTATTTTGCAACACAACAAACTGCTCAATGAGGTATTCCCTTGCACTTATTTCATGGTTAAAGTGGTGGGTCTTCACCTAGAAGACATCTTTTTTGGCTAGCTTGACAAAAAATCCAAGGGAAAAAAAGGTTTGGGGGTTTGCAGTCAATTAATTTTAATTGGTAGGAGGAGATAGACAGATTGATCTCAGCTAGTTACACCAGTGTATGAAGAATTCAAGACATTGTCTACCTGAACATAAGAGGTTAGCTATGTTAAGATTTAAACAAACTGACGTTTACAGAAGGACAGTGTCTTCTGTTTCACCGGTTCCAATTATCCTCTTCCTTTGTTATTAATGCTATCAAACATTCAGAGGTGTCCCTCAGCCTGTTTCCTTGCTCAGATGTCAGTGACACATAGGTATGCCATTTCTCCCAATATCAACCTAATGCAGCCCTTCCCTATTTTTTCTCAACTTCTTTCTGGTAAACAAGCATCTTTTTGGTACAGAACCCAGAATGAAATAAATAAAGCTTAAGGTCCAAAGTATTCATTCAGTGCAAGATGCATAAATATATTCATAGATCAACAGGCTGTAAGTGACTGAACATTCTACTGAAGCATTTGGTAGCATTGCTGTTTTGAGAGAGAATTCAAAGTAGATGAAGTTTTGATCATCTTCAGTACAAACACTGCTAACTCAATAGAATGGCTCTCAAGACCTCTGAGATTTTTTTCTGTCCTCGCAAAACTCTGGTAGGAAAGCAACTCTGGGATAAATGCAGCTAGCAAAACAATGCAGGTTTTTAGATGCATTTAAAAAACACTTCAGGGTGAGGAACTCATGTAAGCACAGGAGACCTGGACCTAACAGTTATTAAAAGGTGCAACAGATGTTTCCTGTCAGAGGTACTGGGAATGGTCAGAAGCACCAGAATCCCCTCACAGTACCAATCTGACTTCTTTGAATGTGCCTCTGGGTGAGGAACCAAAACCCAACAGCACAACAGATAGTAAGAAAAACACTTTCCTGAAGTGAAAAGAGATATTTTAATGTAATTCAAGTGATATACAAAAAAGGATTTTGGAACAAAAATCTACAAATGTAACCTCTCTGTAAAAATCCTGAATACTGCATCACAGCATTTGTTACTTTCATTACTAAGGATTTGTTTAGC